GCAGATTGTGGCAAAGCTGACATGGATATCATTAAACTTCACTGGAGTAGCATGCTGAAAATCAAGCCCGCTATTCCCAGAGTTGTCACAAAGTTTAAAGATTCCAAAAAGTACACAATATTCTCCAATTTTACAAGATTTTCCAGCCCAGACTGACAAAAAAACATGGAACTGATTTCTCTACTTAACAATAATTAGTATTTATCACAGGTAATTAGACTCTAGGTACAGGTAAACATTATGAACCATCAGCATATAACTCTACTAATTAGTACTGTAATCCACATATACGTTCCCCCTTATGCACACACAGACCAACAGACAGGGAAAAAAACAGGGGTGTTTATGGACAGAGGGAAAGACTGGGAAGGGAGAACAGTGGTTCCTGTCAGAAGGGTTACTTTTGCTGGTTAGAATACTGTTCCTTACTCATCCTTCTCTGGATGCTTCCACTGATTTGCAAGAGGCCACAGGGTGGCTTTTTCAGTTATAAAATATTTCTGACTTATCTATTAAAATTCACAGCTTACAGCAACCTGCTGACACAAAGATAAATTGTTTTTCTTCAGGCTTAACTTTGGCTTTTACTGCAAAGAACAGAGAGAGCTACTGAGCTGAAGGAGGTCTGATAACTTCTCTGTATTTTGTTCGCAGGCCCAGGCTGTTCAGCCACCTGGGAAGAAGTCACATAGTCTCACACTGGTCCATAACAAGCAGGGCATGCTGAATGACCCATCTATTGACTAGCATGCTTGAAAACTTGCCTCAAAGGAATGTTTTGTTCATATTAAGCCCTCACGGTTAAATTAGTATTAACCCATACCTACCATTTAGCCATATTGATTACATTTTGAGAGCTACTTAAGGCAGCTATTAAGACATCTCTCCTATGGAGTTGAGAAATAATGTGAAAGATGTCAATAAAGCATTCAGTGGGCCAGGCTGGTCTCTGCCCATACAATAGAGCAGAGTAACAACAAACAAACCTGAAATTTTGAAAAGATAACTAAGATTTGGCAACATATGATAGATCAGACCTTTTTACTTGCACAATCATATTAACAAATAATGTATGCTGAAGTTGCAAATTTATTTGGATTTTGAATTTATTATTGAAATATCAGGTATGTCAAGTTAAATGCTGCCATCTAGTGGTCAGAAATACAATCGCTAATTAAATACTTCGAACAGGATTTTCCAGTTAAGTGCTCCGTAAGAACCTAATTGTACAACTTTAGTCCACAGTTCTCTGACTGGTTATTATAAAGGATGGAAAATAAAAGCTAAAGGTATGCACTTTCTTGATTTAGGTCTGGATTTTCATCCTTGAGGCAGTTAATAGAAGTTAGGAAAATTCCTAGCACAGCCCACCTACTGGAGGAGAAAGTGCTGGAGGATTTTCAGTGCTGGAGGGATGGATGCAAGTTGTAGTCTGGCCAACCAACCTGGGAAATGATCAGAGGTGGCCATAAGCTGCTGGATGCGAAGGCAGGCTGTTCAAAAGGCCTGTTTTGGGATTCTACCCCAGTTACGGTGAAACAGAAAGGCTTTCCAGTCCTCACCACTTACACTCCTTCACACCTATGTATTTCCTATGTGTATACATGTCTACTCATGCCATGTTATGCACCCACCCAACACCAAAAGCTACTCATTCTCCATAACCAGTCTACACCCCTAACTAAACAAGATGATTCTTCATATCCCCATTCCAGGCCAAGTTATTTCCATGCCAATTTGCCAAACATACATTGTATAGAAAACAGTATAATGACAGTAGGACGTCACAGGGTCATACAGCATAGAAACAGACCCTTCAGTCCAACTAGTTCATGCTGACCATGATCCCAAACCAAACTAGTCCCACTTGCCTGCATTTGGCCTGTATCCCTCCACAGCTGTCCTATTCTTGTACTTATCCAAATGTCTTTTAAATTTTGTAACTGTACCTGCATCCATTACTTCCTCTGGCAGTTCATTCCACTTACGAACCAGTGTCTGTAAAAAAGTTGTCCCTCGTGTCCTCTTTAAATTTTTCTCCTCTTACCTTAAAAATATGTCTGCTAGTTTTGAATTGCCCCAACTTTGGGAAAAGACCCTTGCTATTCAACTTTTATTTTGCCCCTAATGATTTTATAAACTTCTATAAGGTCAACCTCCAATGCTCCAATGAAAAACGTCCCAGACTATTTTTATATCTCAAAACCTCCATTCCTGGCAACATCATGGTAAATCTTTTCTGAACCCTCTCCAGTTTAATAACTTTCTTCCTGAAATAACTCCACAGAGGCCAGTACACAGTCACCAAGTCACTCTTCTTTTACAGTGGAGAGTCCTTGACACTGATCCATCTCCCTCAGAGCCAGCTCTCAGAGTGAGCAAAACCTCTGACACTCCTGTTTATATCTGTCAGGATATCTGAATGGACCAGATTAACAGCCTCAATCAGGGAATTCATATTCTATGAGGTCCACCTGGTTGACCTCATTACAATTACTACACTTCCTATAGCAGGGTGACCAGAACTGTACACAGCTCTCCAGAAGAGGCCTCCCATCATCCTGTACAACCTCAACATGACGTCCCACCATCTATACTGAACAGTTTGAGCAATGAAGACCAGCGTGCCTAATGTCTTCTTAAGCGCCTTGTCTACCTGTGAGGCAAATGTCAAAGAATGTCAAATTATAGGTCTGTCTCTACTACAACATTACGCAAGGCGCTACTATTAATTGTATAAGTCCTGCCCTTTTTTGTTTTACCAAAATACAATATCTCGCATTTATCTAAATTAAATTCCATCTGCCACTCCTCAGCCCATTGACCCAATTGATCAAGATCCCTTTGTAATCTTAGATAGCCTTGAAACACTCATTCATTGATAAATTTCCACTTTATGAAAGAAGATCAATTTCATAAATTTCAATAAAAGTGTCAATCATTCAGACCATTTAAAATCTGAATAGCTGAAACTGCAAGAATGTGAAATCTCATTGAAAAATTGAAAACAAATATCAGAAAACCAGAGATATCAATCAAGGAGGGACTGAGGTGTTTGCCTGGCCTCATAATGTATTCTTGGCTGAGAGTGTGGACATCCATTACTCAGTTGAAGGATCTGTGTCCCTGCTCAACTGACAGCTCTAGCTTTCTGATTTCTGGTGCCAATTCATAACGTTTATTTATACAAGGTTGATGTTTCCAATGATTGCAGTTTCAGCTATTCATACTTCAAAGGACCTGGCATGGGACATGAGCGGCTATAGTTGGTGGGTGGGGAACATCACCTGTTATGGGGATTATGAGAAGGACTTTTTGGACTCGACTTTCAAAAGGTTTCCTCATACAGAAAATGCTTTGCAACACATCCGAGGTGCCATGAACCATGAATCTTGAAGAAGCCGGCCCGACTCCATGAAAATTGTGGAGGTGTGGGGAATGCCAATCTCCACAATGGAGGCAGGTATCTTGGTTGATACCTGAACCAGCCTACACCCTAAAAAGATACCCACAAACAGTGATAAAGTCAGAAATGTCAGAATTGTCCATGCCTCCAATTTGGAAGTGTTCTGAGTCATCCTGATTTGGTAAAATTCTAGCTGTGTGAATACTTAGGACTCCAATGTGGAAGATTGTACCTATAGGTTTAAAGAGAAAACCAAATAGTTTGAATAAAATTTAAGTCAAATGGCAGATAGTCCCTTGTGAGTTGTTCAAATACATCTTACAGTTTACAGTTATTTGTTGAACGTTGCCCATTTCCTTTACATAGCAGAATTACTTTCTCAACTCATTTGTCAGCAAGACTTGGAATTCTACAACACAACCTCCATCTTAAATTCAATCCCAGGATAAATGACTAACTTCTTTATGTTGCCTTAATTGACCATATATTATCAGATATCGTTAATCATTGAGATATGATCTGCTTAGCAAATATAACCAAAATCTTTAAAATTCACTTTCCCCATTCCGCCCCATTCCGAGTTACTTTGTGTCTTTCACTCTGTCTGCTGTCTGAAATAATTTAGAATTTAGAATTTATATTACATTAAACTTGCACTGGAAGTCTGGAGTTAGCACCTGAATCAAGGAAACTCAGATGTACTTAATCTGCACTGGCTAAATCCAAGTTTACTTCCATTTCTGATTTTAAGTGAGAGATTTACCTAATTGGAACCGTCATACAGGCGGGTTTGCTGATAAATGAAATAAAACAAAAAAAAGCAGCATAATAAATGAACACCACTCATTTCTTTACAATTGGTCATCACTATTTAAAGAAAATACTACCATCATAATAAAATCAGAATCTCACCTATTTGATATTCTTGAAATGAGTGTAAAATTGTGCTTCCAGGTCAAGTGAGGTTAACCGCTTAAAATTTGGGAGTCAAGTACCAAACTCCTAGAATCTACAACCGAGTTATGCACATTGCATCTGAGATTTCCACTGATGGTAAAGTAAGGAGGAACAATTCCCAGTGCAGAAAGATTGTTAACCTGAGAACATAGATTAAAGATGATTGGCAAAAGAGCTAGAGGTGTTGTGAGAAAATGTTTTAAAATTCTTAAGATCAGAAATGCACAGCCCGTGAGCATGGTGGAAACAGGTCAAATTGTAACTTTCAAAAGGAAAATGATAAATACTTGAAGAAAATATATTTGGAACTTTGGGGAAAGGAAAAGAAAGTGGTTGGTTTGATTGTTTTAGGTCATACGTAAAGCTTCACAAAGTCCCTTTACATGGATAACACGGTATTGTTAAGAGGACGGAATTGTTCGGCATATTTAGAAATACTGCACGTTAATTGAAGTAAAACTAATTAATGTTTTAGTACTTCTTTGCTGGTATTGCCTAATTTAATATCGGATTAAAATATTTTAATGGAGGTATGTTAAGCATCTGTCTCAGTTTAGCAGTGAATATGGTAAAATGTAAATAATTTCACTTTGATGTTTTATTTATATCATTGCTTTAATTTGGATTTTGTTTAAAGATATGCCATGAGACTGAAGATTCATTCAGATGTAACAGCCACTCAAGCAGATAAGCAGCTAGCTGCTTTGTGGTGAGTTTCTAAATTATGAGATTATAAATGAAATCCTATTACATAAAGAGATAACAGGGTGTAGAGCTGGATGAACACAGCAGACCAAGCAGCATCAGAGGAGCAGGAAGGCTGACATTTCGGGCCTAGACCCTTCTTCAGAAAATTCCTATTACATAAACTTGTTTTAATGGTATAAAGTATTGGAGATTAGTATCTTTTATAATTGTCTGCAAAACATCTAGTATAGAAACTGAATTGAGGATGTGCATTTTGAGTCTTACAGTAAGTATGGAAGTATTTTGTTTAAAAACCAAATCCAGTTGTTTCTCGTCATGTATATGTTTGTCTTTCAATGTGGTTTAGCAAGATACTATTTTAAGGCATGGAGAGTTGTTAAATACTGAATGGCTTCAATTGCCCTACTTGAATCATATTCCCCCCAACCCCACACCACCTCCCACCCCCCAAAACTGCACTACCTCTACCAACATCATCTGAACCTCTCAAGTTCCCATTAATTATCCATGCCACCATGACAAAGCACTGAGCAGTAGTCAGGAGTGGAAACAGTAAAATAAATGGGGAATGAGCCATTCTCCCTCAACTTTCTATTCTAACTCATCTCCCTTTACCAAAGAAAAGAATCCAGAAACTGTCATATTCAGATATCACCCTGCACAGAAATAAGTTGTGTAAGCACAACATTGTAGAAGCCATTGGTTGAAATTCTGATCTTTTCCCAGATAATCAACCTGGTAACTTGTAGTATTTGCCACCTCTACCAGTAGCTGGTAATGGGTAAGGTTTGTTAAAGGGAGTTTGTCTCTGCTTTGTCTTGGGCCTATCTAAATGATTAGTGGTAGAGCATACACCACTGTAGAGTATCTAAAAGAAGGTTAATTTGCATGACAGCCATACGTACAGATGCATCTGCTCCCTCTGGAAGCTACAGCAGAACTCCTTGTCCCCAGCCTAGCTAGACGAACAGGTCACGGAGAGGACCCTGAGACAGACTGTCTGCATCTTCTAGAGGAGAGAGGTATGAAAGTTTCCCAAGACAGGCATTCTGAGGCATAGGTATATTTATTGAAGCTGATTGAAATTCGTTCTTTGTGTTCTATTAAGAAACCAGCTGTTTGGTGAGTCGGTTATAAGTAATTAAGGTCTTTACTATTCTTAACTTTTAACATAGTATACAAATTAGTGGTAAAGTTATTAAAATACACGAAAAAAGCAATCTTCCAGCCTGCAGAAATGGAACTAGCAAACTACGAGGCAATTATTTGCATCAGGGAAATACTTGAAAGAGTCTTTCATATGCTTTTGCTTGTTTAGCATTTTACTTTAGTTTATTTGACTTTTGTGATGTTAGGTATGTGTTACAGCTTCTCGCCAGGTCAGAGATACTAGTTGCTCCTGTAAGCAGTCTTTGTATTTTACATTCAGCAACAAGCCTATACTAGCCAATATCTAATTAAGGTTCTTGTGAAGATTTGTACCTCGGATTGTGGACGAGGTTGTTGGCTTGCTCGCCGAGCTGGTTATCATACAGATGTCTCATCACCAGGCTAGATAACATCATCAGTGCGGCCTCTGATGAAGCAATGTTGTTCTACTCTGCTTGGAATTTATATGATCCAGTCTGTTAAGTTGGGTTGTGTCATTTCTAGTTCTTTTTTGCATGGGTTTGTATATGGGGTCTAATTCCACATGTTTGCATTAGGGGTTGAAAACCAGACCTCTAGGAATTCCCGTACATGTCTGTGATTGGCTTGAGCTAGGATGGTTACATTGTCCCAATTAAGTTGATGGCCTTCACTGTCCGAGTGCACTCAGAGTGACTCCCATATGTAGACGACACGTTTGTCATCATTAAATGCATCAAGTTAGAAGAAACGCACCATCTCATTAACAACATTTTCACCAAATTTACGATGGAAGAGGAAGACAACAATCAACTTCCGTTCCTAGACATCAGGATAGAACAAGTGACCAACAGGGAGTTCCAAACCACAGTATCTTCGCAAGAACCTTAAACACCTACGGGCACAACACACTCAAAGTAGCCCGAAAACCGGAAACCTTCACCAACCGACTGAGTGCTACCCGCAAACAACTTCACTTTCTCCACAACTGCCTCAGGAACCAGGTACTGACCCGCAGTGTTAAGTACAAACCTCCACTCAACAACCCACAAGTGTACAAAAGAGCTGAACAAAATAGCTAGAGAATGCTACGGGTAATGATCAATGATGTCCATAACCGACTCTACAAGTACAAGCAAGAAATTTCGTGCCAAAAATCATTATACCAAAACACTACCAACCAGCAATGGACTACAAACCTGGAACAGGCCATCACCATCATACAATACAGGACCACAACAAAGAAAAAACACATTCTACATGAGAAACTGACCAAACTGATCCACCACAAAGACAAGGACAACAACAAACCAGAATCATGGATAGGAAACCTATCCAGCAGACCACTTACAGAAACTGAGAAAGCTGTCCCAATACATAGACTAAACTATAACCAATGAGATGCGAACAGAACAGACCTCATGGCCACAATGGAAGCTACACTAAAAGGCAATGGACTCACGGATGAAACACAACAAGCCATCTGACAAACTATAATCCCTACACTGAACTGAAGGAATGAATGGGACACCCTAAACACATCAGAGAGAAAAGCACTTCTCAAACACCTGGTCGACAGATCACCCCACTCCATCCACTCAACCCAGGAATTCCTTAAGCTCAAGAACATTAAAATCAACAACAACAAGACTATGGTATTCTTTGACGTCACAGCACTATTCACTTCCATTAACATATCATTAGCCAAAGAAACACTTGCCACATTACTGGATACAGCAGGAACGCAAACTCCAAACAGCTGCATCAGCAAGGACAACATACTCAGACTACTGGACCTATGCCTCATCACACACTTCATTTTTAACGGCCAAATATTCAAACAAATCAATGGCACAGGTACGGGGTCAGCCATCTCAGGACTTATTGCAGAGGCAGTCATGCAAAGACTGGAACGCACTACCCTCCCCCTAATACAGCCAACACTGTGCAGCCGATACGTGGACAACTCATTTGTCATAATTAAACGTATCAAGTTAGAAGAAACACACCATCTCACCAACAATATTTTTACCAGGATCAAATTTACGAGAGAAGAGGAAGACAACAATCAAATTCCGTTCCTAGACGTCAGGGTAGAACAAATAACTAGGGAGTTCCAAACTGTAGTGTATAGGAAGGCAACCCACACTGACCAAATCCTCAATTTCCACAGCAATCACTCCAATGTCATTAAACCAAGCTGTGTTAGGACACTATTCACACAGGCCACAACTCACAGCAACACACCAGAACTACGCAAGAAGAAGGAAGGGCACCCATACAAGGTATTTGCTAACAACAGATATCCCAACAACTTCATCCTCAGGTGCCTACTAGATAGACAATGCCAAGAGAACACAGTATGTCCCAAGACACTGGCCACACTACCCTATATCAAGAAGATACCAGAAGTGACAATGAGACTCCTACAACCACTAGGAATTATGGTAGCACACAAACCCAGTGCCACACTACGACAAACACTCACCAGGACCAAAGACCCAATACCCATGATATACAGGACCAATGTAGTTTACAAGATACCTTGCAATGGCTGCAACAAACATTACATCGGCCAGACTGGAAGGAAATTAGCCATCAGGATACACAAACACCACCTAGCAGCAAAACGACACAACAAACTTTCCCTCATCTCAGTACACTTGGACAATGAAAGACCATTAATTTAACTGGGACAATGTGACTACCCTAGCTCAAGCCAACCACAGACATGCACGGGAAGTCTTAGAGGTCTGCCTTTCAACCCCTAATGCAATCAACAAACATGTGGAGTAGACCCCATATACAAACCCATGCAAAAAAGAACTGGAAATGACACAACCCAACTTAACAGACTGGATCATATAAATTCCAAGCAGAGTAGAACAACAATGCTTCATCGGAGGCTGCACTGATGATGTTATCTAGCCCTGGTGACAAAATGTCTGTACAATAACCAGTCGGCTCGGTGAGCAAGCCAACAACAATATCTAATCATACAATGGTATGATCTTGAGACAAAGCAGAGGCACCTCCTGATCTGAACTGAAAATCAAAACTTCAACAACGTCCTTGGATGCATTTCTGCAATTCTTCAGTAGGCGGACTGAGACAAAGCAGATAGCAAGCAGGAGGCATAGCGTGAAAGTTATAATCAAAACACACTCATTTTACTTCCTTAATAGAAATTAATAGACCACATTAATCTATGTTAGTGAACCAGCTTAGCCTCTTTTGGTCATTTTTCTGGATTTGACCAGGTCAAAATATGATCAATGAGTTATCTCTTGCTAGACTGCACTGCCTTCACAGAACTAGCAGTGCAGAACCACAGTTTTGTAAGCTGAATCACATGGACTGATTCTGAATTCCATTATTCCAGCTTGTCATTAAAATCACCAACTCCAAACCACTATCCATGACCCCTTTCCTCACAAGTGTCAATTCTTGGCATGGATGTCAAGAAGATTTACAAGAAATTGCAGGAACGAGGGAAGATTGTACAGACTACAGTTGTCCTCTTTAGGACAGAGGAGGCACAGGGGTGACTTAATTGAGGTGTTCAAAATACTGAAAAGCTTGAATAGAGTGCACGGCAAAGACCTGTTTCTCCGAAGGGGAGAGATCAGTTACCGGGGGAAAAGATTGAAGGTAATCAGTGGAAGGATTAGTTGGGAAATGAGGCCTCAACTCATTTTAAAAGTACTTGGATCTGCACTTGAAGCATTATAACTTACAAAGGTATGGACCAGTTGCTGGTTAGTGATATTAGAATGGGAGATTAATGATTGTACTCGAGAGGGTGGAGAGGAGATTCAGTGGACATTGCCTGAGCTGGAGCATTTCAGTTATGAAAAGAGGCTAGATGAGCTGGGGTTGTTTTCCTCAGGGCAGACAAGGCTGGCAGAGGACATGATTGAGTTGTACAAAATTATGAAGGATATAGATCGCTAGATAGAAAATTTCCCCCTTGGTAGTGGGGTCAATAACTAGGGGTCATAGATTTAAAGTAAGTGGCAAGAGGTTTAAAGGGGATTTAAGGAAGTCTTTTTTCACTCAGAGAGCGATGGGTATCTGAAACTCTGCTGAAAGGCGTGCTAGAGCAGGGAACCATCACAACTTTTAAAAGGTATTAGATGAAGACATGGAATGCATAGAAGCTCCTGGCCACGTACTGGAAATGAGACTAGAGTAGATAGGTGCTTTGTCACTAATACTGACACGATGGGCCAAAGGGCCTCTTTCCGTGCTGTAAGACTGTATGACTCCATAGCTAGTTTATTCACCTGGCATAAATACCAATTAGCTGAATGGCCTCCTTCTGTTCTATAACTTTTTTTGATACTAGTACTACTTTAATAGCACCATGACATCAAGACACCACTTCAATGGCTTCAAAGTTGAGTCTACCAACAAGGACTGCAATAACATACCATATGGAAGAGCAGGATATCTCTGATGAAGCATTTACTTCCATATATTCTATGGTTGTCATGCTTATTCTGTAGTGTCAATAATGCTCATTGCCTCATTGTAATTGTTACAGCAAAAGGCAAACATTACAATTTTTGAATTCAACTGTTGGTTTGAAAGATGCAATTTTTAGGAAGCTATAATTATGATTAGAAAATGTTTTGGATTGGAGATGAGATGCTTTGAATTCATAGAAATGTTTCCTTTAACAGATGTGACAGCACGATCCTGTTGATCTGTCTGATTTTTAAGCCTGAGCTCAGTTTGCAAAAATCTTTTTGATCTCTACAGTTACCGTTGTTTGGCACTTCTTTATTGGAGGATGTTCAGACTTAAGAGGGACAGTGCAGTTAAATATTCTAAAGCCCTGATTGACTATTTCAAGGTAAATATTTTACATACTTTCCAAGTTTTCTGTCACTTCATAAGCTCCAACTGACTCTCCATTGTGAAAATGTAATCAAAGTTATTGAATCTATCTTAAATAACACTTTTGTTTTGAACCTATTTACTTAAATTTTATTGTAGTTCAGATGTGACACTTCTCCAAATATAGAATTAAGTTAATTTCTTAAGAAGTCTAGTATACAGTGTCTATCCTGATGACTGTAGGTCAAAAAGCTTCAAAGCATGTCTTGTTTCTCACCCCTGTAAATCAAGCAATTATTTACATGACTGTTAATGAATCTGAACGCTTTTAACAAGCAAACAGTGAGAGGCAGATATATTTGCAGATGCTACAAAAATGAAGTTTATACGATAGTTATGTTTTGAGACTGTCTCTTTAAGATAAAGTAGAGGAATGAAGAGGTCATGTGACCTGCTCTGAATTCTGGTGGACAAGTCAAGGAGGATTGGTTGCTATGGTGACAAGAGGGATCCCCAACTCAAGATTATCTTGCTGAGAAGGTGCAAGATTTACACAAGTGTGAACAATCTATGTTGACTGTTAGTCTCAGAGTCTCACAGAGGTGTGAAGAAAGTCAGGTTTTATAAATGGTTAAGTGGGTGAAATTTAAGTTATACTCTTGGCACCAATTATCTCCTGTGCAGTTATCCGACCAGAACATCAGCATGGAGTTATGCAGGATTACAAAGGGACTATGCTGGAATGACTCAAACATCTAGCTTAAGTTCCTGTTATCCAGAGGTTATCTCCCTCTCAAAGGGCAGCAGACAATGACAGCGTCAGCACTCTTTGCAATGCTCCCCATGAAGCACCAGCAAGCGTGTGCGGTGATTAGGAACCCTCTCGGTAGTCTACAAAGAAAACATAAATATCTAGCAGTCTTAACAAATCAAAAGATACTGCAGGACTCTTGGACAAAGTACTATACTTATGGCAGCTGTCAGGTTATACAGAATGTTGATACCTGTGCACCGTTCAGATTTCACTGTTGTTTAATCTTTCTTTTCCTATTACTACACCTGTGTGCCATCTTCGCTGTTGCAGCTGAAACTTGAGGAAGCTGCTGCTGACTGCATTGCTACTCGATGACTTTGGCAGGTGTCCTCTGGTGTTCCAGGGCCTAGAGGACTCCAGTCTGCTCAGGGCATCTGCACAGGGGCAGGGAAAATCTCACTGATCTGACCTGATAAGGCATTTAGGTCCCTGGCAAAAGGGGAAGTGGTATAGCAGGGCACCTCCGCAGTGTCCAGTGATGACAATTCCTCGGTCCCTGTCTGATGCTCTTCCTCCCTGTCAGTGCGCTATTTGACGTCTCCAGCTACTGAGCGAATGGACACCTAGAAGAGTTTTGAAGTGCCTTGGATGCCCGTGCTCTTGCCTAGTCACTGAATGAACACATCTACGGTCCCAGTGATGGAGTGAATGTCCCCGCACATATCTGGCAAATACTGACGATTCTGCAGTACCTGGACCTCCAGGATGACAACCATCCATTTCCATGGAGATAGACTTGCACTCACATGCTGGAGCTATAAAATCAAAACAAGTGGACCCGTTTTGCTCCAGTCTGCATATCATTTCTGGCATCTCTGCCTTTAACATTCCCCTGCTTGTCTACATATCTCTGTCAGTTAATTAATGGCCAAGTCCAGAAGCTCATCATTTGTACTGGGTGCAGCAAGGGCCTGATCTCCAGTCGTCTTCTGAGTCTCAGACATTTTGGTCATCTCTTCCTTCCCTAGCTGTGGGCTAGGTTTGATCAGGGCTGTGATCACCAGAATGTGAGGCTGACCACACCCGAACTAGATTACCCACTGAGGTGAATGTTATTCTCTGCACTGATAGGGGGTGGGAGGAAGACCTTGAAGGTACATCCTCTGAGGCTCACGACTGTTTCTTCTTGGAGATGTGGTTCAAGGAGTGGGTGGAAAAGGGTTTGGGGGATGAGGTTCCTTTTTTATTTTTTCATGGTTTAGGGATGGGTTTCAGAGACTGCATAAGAAAATACAAACAACAGTTAGTGTTGCAAGCCGTCATCCTTTCCCAAGGTTTCATTAAGGTTTTGAGACTTGGTGCGCAAATAAGATTAAGAGACTGGAGGCTTCTCACTAGATGCCTGTAGATGTCTAAACTGCTCTTGAACATCTTGTGCTCTCCTGTCAGCTTAGTGCCTCCTCCTCAAAGAGAGTCAAGAACCTGTGAGGTGTTCATCATGATGCCATTGTTTGTGGTCATATCCTTGTTTCCTGCAAGCCTTTGTTTAGAAGCTCTCAGATGTGTTTGTTCACTGAGTTGCGAAGTAAGATCAGTGAGCTGACAGTGTATGAGCTGCTCAGTGTTGTAGCTCCTTTTATTTTTTAAGTATGAACCCTGGCAGATAGTGAGAGGCAGTACCACTGTGGTGCCAGTAGTAGCTGCAATGAAGTGACAGACCTGTCACTAGTCAAGTCAAGATACCTGGCAGCCAGCTTCCTGTGTGTCGGCAGCAACCTTAGGACGTTAACTCGCACTCACAGGGGCATGAAGCATTGAGTAGGTTATGGTACTTATCCTGGTGGAATGCAGCAGTTCATTCACCTTCTTGTAGCACTGAAGCCAAGGTTCTTTTGAGGCAGCCATGCATATTGACCTCCCCACTCATCTCTATCCAGGTTATCTTTGTCAGTCGTGATGGTCTACTATTGCTATCCCTATGTAAAACCACTTCCCTTCTCTCCTGAATAGACTACTGGGAAACTTCTATGGAGGTATCATGAAAGCAAAACGTTGATTTTTGGTCTGTGACATCTCTAGGAGTGTTTGGGGGTGGAGGTTGTGTGTTGCTCTTAGGTTCCAGAGAATGAAGTTCACACCGAAAGCCTCGTAAATACGGTTCCCAGGTGTTAGAGACCAGGTAGGGGCAGAACTTCTTGTCCAACTGTCCCTAAAATTTGGTATTTTATACATATATGAAAATGCAATGATCTGAGAAGAATGCATTCACTCAAGAAAACTTAACATGCCCCAAGGGGACTTATCTCTTGCTTTTCGACCTACCTCCATACAACATACCAAAAAGCATGATTCTGTCTCCCGATTTGCAACTTATATGCAGGAGAATCTTTTTTTCACAAATACAGGTTAGCTCGGCCTTACCCACAGATATGCCCATTTGAAAATTGTGGGTTGCCTGCAAACTTCATTATTCTTTCATTTAGCCATTAACAGAAAACTCTTTGACCAAATTAACTATTCTTTTTTGTTCTCTGACCTAGTGTAACAGAAAGGAAGTGCTAACCAGTGGTATTGCACATACTAATATGCATCAGAAGGAACTGAACACACATCAGTACTGCAGTTGTCCACTTAAACTCAAATACACTCGTCATTGCTGCAATTTTAGGAAAAAACAGGTATTGACTTTATAAACTAGATTCTTGACTGATGTTTAGCAAAACCAATTTCTAAAACAAATGTCGTTTAAAGTAGATTTTTCAGAATTGAGTTGTATTACATTGAGTCATTGAATCAGTCTTTATGAGGTGTTAATGAACTTCCAAAGAAACATGATAACTAGATTCGATTTAACTGTGGAACTATAGTTAATTCAGCAAACTATGCTACAGTCAGCAGACACAGCTACCCCACAATCCCCAGCCAATTGTTGGCTAGTTATAGGCCTGTTACTACTTCCATCACAAAAATATATGTGACTGAGGAAAGTGGAATGGAGGATGCCCAACTGCTACTTTTCTTACCTGGTCTAAAAATGGAAAGGAAATGGTGTACCTACTTTGAGGGCATATTAGAGCACCCATCCCATGTTCATAACCTCACTTTGTGTCTCTACACCAAAGCTTGAACCCAACTACCTCTTGCTAGAGTCTCTGATCCCTTCCTGAATAAAAACTTCAATTTACGTGGCATCCACGGAGCTTCTCCTCAGGAATGCTTGTTATCCTGGCACTGGCCACTACTGAATTCTGGTGCGGCTGAATCATCAATCACATTGGCTGGCAGTTCTCGGGAGAGGGAGCGTCTGTTCCTGAGGGACAGAAGTTCCACTTACAGCTTATTAAGACCCCAGCATATTATGGCTACTAGGTAGCTGCTTTTAAAATAGGTCTGCTCAACACAACCTTTCAACCAGGAAGGCAATCATACACCTCCCTTGTAAAATTCACCCCATAGAGCTATTGGAAGGAGGACATTTGGCCCATCATTGACGATGTCATGTTATTGATAAGAGTGGGCTACTTGGGAGCAATGAATCCACTCAAAACTAAGCAGCAGCAAACGCTAGGATTTTTGTTTCCTATGTCTTACTCAGTTGCAGCTTAATCATTTGAACAATATCACTGAAAAGGTTTTTTGAAGCTTTTCATCTGGCACTCATTAAGGCACTGCAAGACTACAACTTCAAGGAGAAAACCAATATTCACCACCAATAGGATTTTGTCAACAAGCTAACAAGATGTTTTGTCTAGTACGTAAATGGATAATGTAGTAGATGAACTTCAGTACAGGTGTGATGTCAGGTATTAGGTTGTATGTCCCAAAGATTGGTACATCATATCAAACAGCATGTTACACTGGCTGTGAACCCAACAAGCCCACACTTACAAAACATACAACACCCTATATAACTATAGATGTGATTCTGCAGTTGGACAATATTTACTGAATAATGACAACAAATTTTCAAATGTAAGTTGGGCTCACAGAATGGTGTACGTGCATGTACTGGAAGCTATGTGTATTAGCACACAGGACCCTGTTTTTTGCAGATGGAAAGAACTGCATCTGTTTCAACACAACAAAATTGACATTGACAGGTACATGTTCATTTCTCAGGGTACTACCCTGATTAATCACAGTCAACCTGCCTAGTTTAAAATTTAAACAGGCTTGCAGTTAACTGTCAATCAGCATTAACGGAGACATTCTCCCCACCAATACCTCTGACAATTTGAGTCCATTTGCCAGTCACCCTCCCCTTCTCATGCAGTACAAGTGTTTGTTTTTCCCTTGAATTTGTAATCTTGCAAAATGTCCTCATATATGCCAGAAGAAAGGTTTCAATAAAATGTGACTTTTTCCAGCAATATACAAATTCTGTACTACCACAAGACATCACAACAATATTTCACCCTAAATCATTTTAAGTAGCTCAACACTGAACTGCTGAAAGTCTCTGTTCAGACATCAAAAATCAAAAGTCTCAAAGTTTGAAAAAAGGCCAGAATGGAGCGAATGAAAACAAAATAAAAGTATCAAGGAGCAAACATGTGCACATGATGTCCATATTTTTTGCAATTTAAATTTTAGTTCAATTTTTGTTTCTTATTTCACAGTTTAGGATTTTTGACAATTTGACCTAGAAGGAATTTCGAATATTTTGGATCAGGATGTTGCTATTAGTTAAATTGAAAATATTCTGGAATTGCACATTAGTTCCCATCTGAAACATTTACCAAGTGGGTGCCTCTCATCACATAATTTACACTAAGGGTAGTTGGAATGCGGAATTCTCCATCACAAACAATTTATTTAGTCCATTAATTATTTTAATTGGATATTAACTGCTTGAAAAATGAATATTGATGAATATAGGAAAGGTAAGAGTGGAATTTGAAAAAATAAATACTATTCATACATGCAACAAATTTGAAAATTTCTGTCTAAAACAGATATATTTTAATACTACAGGACTCTGGTGAAACAGCTAAAAGTTCAAACCTTTGGGGAACCAGTGAGACGTAAGTATACTTTCCTTTCTTCTGACCTAAAATGTAACATTGTAAAAATAATCCTAAAACATATTTAGTGAGCTCATTATCTGCAAAGGGGAGAGAAACAGTCTACGATTGGAGGGGCAGCGAGCAGCAAACCATGACTGATTTCAGTCAGCCTGAGGCTTAGAACTGTCGTGGTAAGCCTGCAGAACCAGGACTGGGAGGCTTTCACAAAGACATTGTCTTAGGGAGGATAGAAATAAGAGTCCAAGCATCTTGGGGCCAATGTAGGTCTGATGTGGGAGAGAGGATCTGGAGCAGGGAGCAGTGAAAGTCCATGTGGGTTGTGAATGTCTGACCGGCGAGATTACAGCTTGGAGAGGGAGGTGATTGTGAGAGAGTCCAGTGGTTGTAGGTGGGATTTGTTAGTGAATGGATGAGAATCCGGCGAGGTCAACTACGTTTTATATTTTCCACTTTAGGTATATTAGAACATCTACGCCAAAGTTGTCTACGCTATCCCCTGTTACTTCTGCTGGATTGCTTGAGAGCCGTTCCAGTAACAGTGGATCATCCCCCTCTTCAACCATTAATATTCCACAGCGAATCCATCAGTTGGCTGCTAACCATGTCAACATCACCAACAGCATTCTCTACAGTTATGACTACTGGGAAATGGCTGATAAACTGACTAAGGAAAACAAAGGTATATCTTTTGGCTCAATCAGGAGATAAGACATAGTTTGCCTGCTGTAATGAATTGCTTTTTTGTTTGCCTGTTTGATGTGTAATAATAAGATACCGTTCACAAGAGCACAAAGTGAGGTTCAGAGTCAAATAATGTGAATGTCAAACATGAAAACCATCAGAATCATGAAGAACTTTTGGCATTTGCTACCCTAAGATCCATTAATATCTATTTTGAATCTTCATTATTCTGGGAATAGTTTCAGAAGTGCACTTCAAGCGAGCTCCTTATTCAGACTGAAATGTGTGTATTTGCTAGTAATTCAGACAGATTTGCCAAGCTGATTATCTGTAGCTTTCTCACCTTACACATTGCAACCTGAAGATGCTGGTGATAATTCCTAACAACTTCACCCAACCCTGTTACCAGACTCAAAATAATTGTTATCAACATTTGACAATTCAAGTCTATTTTATGCTTGCTTGATAAAATCATTGGGGGGAGTTTCATGGAGCCCATAATAGCAGGAAACGTGCAGGGCAATATAATTAGGTGGAATAGAAGATTTTGATTTACTGATTGCAGACTGTGATGTAGCAATAAACTCAATGGTATATTGAAAATGATGCCAGCTTGTAACACATTTGTGTCTTATGAATATTTATTAACGTGAAACAGCACAACAATCTTGTACACGATTATTTAAAGGTGACGTGCAGCAGGTTTTGTCTAGTTATGTAAGTTTTATAGGAAAAAGAATTTCCTGTTTAGCTCTTTGGTACAAGGGAGGAGAGCAGGAGATTGTACTCTTGCTTTGGTGCTGAGGACCAGGAAATGTGAGTCAGTTGTGAATGGAGTTGTGGAGTGGGTTTGGGGGAATGGTGGGTTAAAAGGGAATCCAGGGGACAACAAAGGGTGAGGTCAGGAACATGGAGGAGTAAAATAGGAAGGGCCCGGTGACCTGGATGTCGTGGGGGTTTGTGGCGACAGTCAGTGAAAGTAAGAAAATAGGGGGGTGGCTAAAGGATAGCGTCCAATCTCAGGTTGCTGGCTGACAGAGTCCTTACAGGACTTTGAGTTCACTTTTGGATGATGTCTTTTAAAATGCATAGTAGGGAGGGCCAGGTGAGTCTACAAACTCAGCTATGTCCCCTGGAGGGATGAATACCACACTGGACACTATTATCAATAATCAATGTAGAGTGAATAAAAAAAACACAACATTGTTGCTTTCATAATAAAGGAAATGTCCCTAAATCTGCTGTTACTGCAATGCCATAAGGCTAGTCAGTACATGTAGCTGTCTAAGCCAGTCTCAACAAATAGCAATGATGCACACATCAGTCAAGGATAAGCAATGTAATGTGAAATATTTACAAATGAAATTTAGTTTGGGCAGGAGTTGGGCAGGAAAGTTGTAGCCATGATACAGAGCCTCCCTGTTTGACCAAGAGACTCATTAGTGGGTTCCCTGTGAATGCAGCATTGTCAGCTGATGGTGGTTTCATCAAGGAAAGGGGTCCTCCGCCGCTGTATTAAATTGAATATGCTTTGTATGCATGTCTTGGCACTTGGAAATTAATTACATGGGAAAAGGCAAAAAGAAAGGAAGCAGAAGTGGTATACATTTTCAGTTAAGACATTGGGAATAGCGTGCTGTTGATAAAATCTAGTCTGTAGCATGGTTACAACGTAGAAGGAGACCATACACCCCATCATGTCAGTGCTGGCTCTCTGAAGGACCTATTCACTGAATAGTACCTCTCCCCTGCAAGTATTCCTTTACAGACAATTATTCATTTTCCTTTTGAAAGCCTCTCTTTATCCTACTTTCACCACAATCTCAGGCACTACATTTCAGATCTTAACCACTCTTCTATCCTTCTTTCAAATCTGCCCTTGACCTTTTCATGTCCAACGAGATCAATACCACCTTCTTCAATCTTTCTACATAAATGAAGCTTCTTATCCCTGGACCCAGTCTGTGAATATCCTCTCTCCTGCTGCCGACAGGGGAAGCTAGGTATTTCATGCTGTTATTTTTCAGCAGCAACATGAGTGGTGTTCGCCACTTTTAGGATGCTGTAGTTAAGCCAAATGCTATAATACCAATGAGTAATGTGTTATCTGAATTTCAATGTCGATACATAGGCTATACATTGCAAAGACTGGAAGACTTTATCCAAAAGCGTCTCCCTTCACAATTGGCTAAGTACTTTCCATATAAAGTCAGACCCTGCTTGCAAAACTCAAAACACAGTGTCCAACATTAGATGTGATTCTGCAAATGAGCAAAGTCTTAATGCAACTAATTTAGGATTTTCAGGCAAGCTCATAGTGTGCTACAGTTGCATGTACTGGAGGTTACAAATATTAATACACAATGCTTGATATTTTACAGCTAGAAGTAACATGAAAACACACTGTGCTGTTTGAACTCATCAAAATAGGTGATGGTCATTTTCAGGTTAATTGCTTAATGCAATGCCTTTATCAACCAGAGTCCGCCTACCAAGCAATCAGCACTGTCCTCCTATACAGTATGAATGTTGTTTTCCCTTTATATTGGCATTTTATGTGCCTTGTATCAAGGGAGCTGATGGAGGGCTTTCTATACTCACCAGTGATCTGCAAGGAATACTTCTCATAATTCCATCTCAGAAGTGTCAGAGGCACCTCTGTTTCAACAAACCTGGTTGCTCAACTATGTCGCTCTTGCCAGCTGATCTGAAGCCACACAAGTGGAGTGGTCAGTGTTGTCAGTGGCTGCCAAGATCACTGTGGCTCTAAATTTCAATGCCATTAGATCCTTCCAGACAGTAGCAGGAGAATTCAGTGACTTCCCACAGGTTCCTTTCCATCACAGTGACTGAGAAATCACTGAGCCCTTGTATAAAGGGAGAGAATTCATCATGGTCAGCACATGCTCTTATCAGGTTATCAGAATTCACAATAATGCAAAGCGTGATCAACCACTTGCACGTGGCTCCGAAAGCCTCATGTTAGGTGTTCCGAAGGTGCCTTGGTTCAACATCTCATTTGAAAGACGACAACTCTGACAATGCAGTGCTCCCTCAGTCCTGCATTGGAGTATCAGGCTTCATTTTATATTGAAAGGCTGGAGTGGATCTTGAACCTGGAACCTTATGATTCATGGGCAAGAGTTCGACAAATTGAGCCACAGCTGACACACATAGAGGCTATTTGGCATCATGATTCACTGACTCCAAATACTTGTGACACACAAATGACACATTATGCGAGTGCACTGCCAGTCAATGCTGCCGCCATAATATTTGTGTTTACCCACTGAAAAGAGTAAAATTTGTTTCATTATCTGTCTTCACACTTTTGACATGGTGTGTTTTTTTAAATTTAAGTTCCTTGCATTACAAAGAAACTTTACTTCTCTTTTCAGAATTCTTTCATGATCTTGATACACAGATGGGACCCATAACACTACAAAGTAGTATGAAGCAGCTCGTTCGTTACACTCAACAAGGACTGCATTGGATCCGAATCAGTAGTCACATGTTGTAGTGCTTTTTATGTATGATCACATTCCATGAACTTTCAATTCTAAAGTGCTGAATTGCTAGTTAATGCAGAAGGTGTCCTGAGAAAATTGAAGGAAATTTTTGCTGTGGAATTTCATATCATAAATTTGATACTTCTTTAATGTTAAAGAATATTAGGCTTCAGCCCACGAATTTGGCAAGAGGTCAAAGAAAGATCGGGTCAATTCTATTTAGCATTCTTTCCTTTTGTTTTCCCCTTTCAGCAATTTAGTGCATTCACATCTAGAAATACTATTGCCGGCTTCTGCACATTACAAACTTTGGGCAACAAAAGAATCTATTTTTGCCTTGACTGTTCATAAATCTTTATTGTCAACTGCTCATGTATTTTAAACCTTATTTGCTTTCTCATGTAGGTTTCTACCTTTTAAGGTACATTATAAAGTAAATCTGAATTAATATCATATCATGTATTCACATTTTATAAGCAAAAAGTAAAAAAGGGTAAGTGCAATTTATGACAACAAATAATAAGTTAATTAGGAGACCATTTAGGTTAAGGCTGTTGATGGTGTCAATAAAGACAGAGGTGAAATCCCTGCTGAGAAAAAATAAAAGCTGTCTAAGAAATATTGGTCAGAGTATGTGTTGTAATTATAACTATGTTCTTAAGTTTACTTCATGATGGTTAAAAGGGTTTTCTAGGATTCAGATTTTAATTGATCATTTTTGATTTAAAATTCTGCTTCGTCGCATGCTATAACATTTTATCGGTAATGTTGTGCTATTTCAAAAACCAAGTGAAAGATATTATTCTATGGGTTAGTTGAAAACTTCGGGGCATTGTTTTCAGAGCCATATATGTCTCCCACAAACTTCATATTGCAAGAACATGCCCCATAGACAAGTTGACATTATGGAAATATTCCAAATGACCCATCTTTCTGTCTTCAATGCAGTCTCAGTTGATCAGAATGTGGAACTTCTGTGGAGGCTTGTCTGAAATTGTGCTATGACTTCAGGAAAAGTCATCAGAAACCCTAAAGCAAGCCAGGATTTCTGCTGGCTTTCTGTAGAAGTCATACGTGTGACTGAGGAATCCTTATGGAAATTGTGTCTGTCAAGTCCACCAGTATTGAGGAATCCTTACGGAAATTGTTTCCCTTAAGTCCAGCAGTATTCTGTTCAGTAAAGAGTATATAGGAAATATATTTTCAGCAAATTAAAGTTACTTGTCAGTTTAGGATTAAAGAGGGAAAGTCTATTATACAGTTTGCCTCAAAACATCAGTGAGAAAAGATAATTCAATGAGAGAAGCAAAAGTCTTTGCTTCATCCTGTTGCTTAAATAATTTTCATAACTAAGTTTTCTCATTCCAATTTAATTTTTTAAGTTCAATGCCAATTTAAGGAATAACAACATGTGATAAGATTGGGTTGGTGATTTGTTTGTCTACCATCTTTCTACATGACCAACATGAAAGATGTCATCAGGCAGTAAACAATAGCATCAGTAAAATAGAAGCCTTAGATAATGTGGATCAACTATTGGGACAGGTTTTCAACAGTTCAAAAGTCTCAATAACAGTTATCATTTAGAATATTATTTGATCTAAAGATTATTTAACCTCTATGTTAAAATGCCATGCCTGGATATTTTATCATCTTTTGCCAATATAGACTTTATGGGATTAAATTAAGTAATAAACTGCTATTGCAGTGCTATAATGATTGTTATTTACCTGAACATTAACTCAACATTTTATCGTATTCAACTTGTCAGGTCTTTGACATCTGAGATTAAAAAAAGGTCTGAATATTTATTTTTTATCCAGAATGTAATTATTAATCCAGTATTATTTTGACCCAACATAGAACATTCATTTTATTCCTTTGTTAATAAGCTTCGCCTATTCTGCTTTATGTTTGTGATATATTTGTGTAATGCTACTCATTCATCAAGAATATTTCATAGCCAAAGTGCATTTGTTTCTCACAGAGCTCATCATTTGTTTAAGTATAATATTGAATATTGTATAAAGTTGTCTAATGGTAATGCATTCAACTTCTTTCTAAAATTATTTTACTTTTTAGTCTAGCATGCGTATCTAACACTCTCATCACTTCTTTCAGTGATTTTATATGTTTAGATGAAATGTGCAGATATATGAAGTCAACTAAATTACTATAATTAGTATAATATACAGATATGGAGATGTGAGATTGAAGCCTTAGGAATCATCCAGACTCTTATCTAGAGCAATTTGTATTAAATGGAATTCATTATGGGTTTACAGGACCATAAACATGAAGCCTAATGTATATATTACAACAGCCTGATCAAAAATAATGATAATTCTGTATTTTAAAAATGCATTTTCATTTCAAGTTTGATGCTTGCAGATTCTCACTTTTTAATTTGTTCGCATTAATGTTAATTGAGCTCAATTGCAAGGCTTTCAAAACTTTTAAGCAAGGTACTTTTATATGAAAAGGCAAATACTAATTGCAGAGTCCCAATGTCCGCCTTTTGTTGGAATTTTTTTTATTGATGCAGAAGTGTAGCAATAAGATGTCATCAGATTTAGCAGACTTGAGAGGACTTTGCTGAGTCAAAGTAATTATATTATATTTATAGCACCTCACAGCCTATCAGTAACAAATTTTATGCTCCTGCACATATTATTATTCTAGCGAAAGCATACATCCAACTAGTTTTAAGGACCAGAAGCCTTGCTCTAGCAGTTCTAAATTAAAATGACATTTTCAGCTGCCTACCAGTTGAAGCATGAATTACCTTAGTTTTGAACCTCTCCCAGTTTATCACCTTATTCTTTCAGAACAGATAAAAGATGAAAGTATGATGAGATTTTGCACTCAATCACTTCTCCCTTAACATCAGTATCAGCAGTTTCCTCTAATATGAGGATGGTGTAAGCTCACTAATTCTGCTTGCATGTATTGCCAGGATTTTTCTTACACAGCCTCATTTTCGTAACAACTCACCAACACTTCCCCCTCATTCCCAAAAATCACTGTTATTGCTGCCATTGTTTGTCCAAAGGATCCATCCTTATGATGCACTGTCTTTCCACACCAGATGCAAAGCATTGCCCAAACTGGATGAATGTTGACTGTCAGACAAGCAGTCTTCCTTCCATCTCCAATATTTTTATGACGAAACAGAAGAGTTTAACTTTTTGATGTTCCTATACTTATTCATTTTCACGATTGTTTGGAGCAGGTTGGAGATTAATCTTCAACTCCAGGAGACTCCAGTCCAATTCTGGAGGATTGGCAACTGAGGACAATGGCCACATGCATCTGTTCAAATACAAACCATTGGTATTCATGGCAACCACCTGATTTCTGTATGTGGTTAGCCTACCACTGAGAATGTATGAAGGGTCGTTCACTGATAGTCCCACACTTAAAGTGAAAGGACATAAGATCATCAAATTGCTATAATTTCCTTTGTGAACAATTGGTAAAAATAATACTTTCTCTGTTTTTGATCAAAACACGTCTATAAGTTTCAGCATTATCCTTTATTTACTTGTATTTTCTTTACATACCTCAACACAAGTGGCAAAAAATTAACTTAAAAAATCCTGTTTAATTGCACCAATTAGAGAGAGAAATGAATGAAGAACAATGGACAGAAGATAGGCTTATCAAGCACCACAGGCTCACAAGCTGAGATACACCTAATTCAATACAAGCAATGCTTAGGGAAACAATGCATTATTTGTCAGACTGTGCAAGATTTGTGTCATATACTTGACCCAGATCTGAAGCAAATTTCAGGATGGCTAGAGATCCCTTTTGATCAAAGTCAATTCCAAAACAACAAAGTTGCTGGACACTGAGACAAGATACCCAGAAGAGAATGGTGTAGATTATATGGAAATGTCAGAGGCAATCATTGCTATCGCCATTAGGCCAAGAACTACTGTAGAGTGCTGGTAAGATACGGCAACACATGTTCCTAGTCTCACGGTGAGAAACTGTCCCAAAACACTTGACACAACACACACTTAGCCAAAAAGAGTAAGATTCAGCCATTTGGAGATAGTAGGAACTGCAGATGCTGGAGAATCCGAGACAACAAGGTGCAGGGCTGGATGAACACAGCAGGCCAAGCAGCATCATAGGAGCAGAGAGGCTGACGTTTCGGGCCTAGACCCTTCATCAGAAAAGGGGGAGGGGAAGGGGGTTTTGAAATAAATAGGGAGAGAGTGGGAGGCGGATAGAAGAGGGATAGAGGAGAGGATAGGTGGAGAGGAAACAAACAGGTCGAAGAGGCGGGGATGGGGCCAGGAAAGGTGAGTGTAGGTAGGGAGTTAGGAAGGGGATAGGTCAGTCCAGGGAGGACGGACAGGTCAAGGGGGCGGGATGAGGTTGGTCGGTAGGAGATGGAGGTGCGGCTTGGGGTGGGAGGAGGGGATAGGTGGGAGGAAGAACAGGTTAGGGAGGCAGGGACGAGTTGGACTGGTTTTGGGATGCGGTGGGGGGAGGGGAGATTTTGAAACTTGTGAAATCCACATTGATACCATTGAGCTGCAGGGTTCCCAAGCGGAATATGAGTTGCTGTTCCTGCAACCTTCGGGTGGCATCGTTGTGGCACTGCAGGAGGCCCAGGATGGACATGTCGTCTGAGGAATGGGAGGGGGAGTTGAAATGGTTCGCGACTGGGAGGTGCAGTTGTTTGTTGCGAACCGAGCGTAAGTGTTCTGCAAAGCGGTCCCCGAGTCTCCGCTTGGTTTCCCCGATGTAGAGGAAGCCACACCGGGTACAGCGGATGCAGTATACCACATTGGCAGATGTGCAGGTGAACATCTGCTTGATGTGGAAAGTCTTCTTGGGGCCTGGGATGGGGGTGAGGGAGGAGGTATGGGGGCAGGTGTAGCACTTCCTGCGGTTGCAGGGAAAAGTGCCGGGTGTGGTGGAGCTGGAGGGGAGTGTGGAGCGGACAAGGGAGTCACGGAGAGAGTTGTCCCTCCGGAAAGCAGATAAAGGTGGGGAGGGAAAGATGTCTTTGGTGGTGGGGTCGGATTGCAGATGGCGGAAGTGTCGGAGGATGATGCGTTGGATCCGGAGGTTGGTGGGGTGGTACGTGAGGACGAGGGGGATTCTTTTTTGGTTTTTATTGCGTGGACGGGGTGTGAGGGATGAGGTGCGGGAGATGTGGGAGACACGGTTGAGGGCGTTCTCGACCACCGAGGAGGGGAAGTTACGGTCCTTGAAAAACGAGGACAACTGAGATGTACGGGAGTGGAATGCCTCATCCTGGGAGCAGATGCGGCGGAGGCGAAGGAATTGGGAATAGGGGATAGCATTTTTGCAGGAAGGTGGGTGGGAGGAGGAGTATTCTAGGTAGCTGTGGGAGTCGGTGGGCTTGAAATGAATATCGGTTTCGAGGTGGTTGTCCGATATGGAGACAGAGAGGTCCAGGAAGGGGAGAGAGGTGTTAGAGATGGTCCAGGTAAATTTAAGGTTGGGGTGGAAGGTGTTGGTGAAGTGTATGAACTGTTCGAGCTCCTCGTGGGAGCACGAGGCGGCACCGATACAGTCATCAATGTAACGGAGGAAGAGGTGGGGTTTAGGGCCGGTGTAGGTACGGAAGAGGGATTGTTCCACGTAACCTACAAAGAGGCAGGCGTAGCTTGGGCCCATGCGGGTACCCATGGCTACCCCCTTTGTCTGTAGGAAGTGGGAGGAATTGAAAGAGAAGTTGTTGAGTGTGAGGACGAGTTCGGCTAAGCGGATGAGGGTGTCAGTGGAGGGGGACTGGTCGGGCCTGCGGGACAGGAAGAAGCGGAGGGCCTTAAGGCCATCTGCATGGGGAATGCAGGTGTAGAGGGACTGGACGTCCATGGTAAAGATGAGGTGTTGGGGACCGGGGAATTGGAAGTTCTGGAGGAGGTGGAGGGCGTGGGTGGTGTCACGGACATAGGTAGGGAGTTCCTGGACCAAGGGG